AGTAGGCAACCCCAGCCCGGGTGCCAGAGCATGGCGTGCGAAGGCATTTTGCTTGGCACGTGCATCTCAGGGCAGACAGTGGGAAAGGGGCTGGGGCTGCGCGGCCACAACAGGAATTGGGTCCCTTGTGGCTCCCCCATCATCTGCCCCTGGCACACCAACATCTTACAAGTTGAGGCTGTGGATGTTTTTAGCACGCTGCCTACAAAAGTTGCTGACCCCTGGTTTATAGCATGACTATAAAATAACACCTTTTTAACGTTTCCTATTTAGTGTGTCCCCAGTTGTGAGTTCGTGTACGTGGTGCTCACGTTTGCAGGTCGGGTTTGCTATTTACAGGCTAATTAAAGAGCACACTATTTTTCTGATCTGTTAGGGTGCATTGACAGTGTTGGGTAACTGGCTCAGGGGCTCGATGAGGAATTCAGCATTTTAAAAGCACCCTGATGACTTAAGAGTTTAAGTTTAGTGGGAAAAAATAGTTGATTCAGAGTTGAAGTCTCAGTGAAAACCATTGGGAACTAAGCTCAGAAAAACCTGAAGGCCAGATACTCAATAAGATTTGGACACCTAAAAATTGGCACCTACCTGGATTTCCTGAGTGCCTAGACTTTTTAGGTGCTTTTAGTATGTGGCTCTTAGGTCAAGTGAGAAGATGCTTTCATCAGAGATTTCATTTCTGTTTGAAGTCAACTTGCTGTCTGAATAGTTGAGAACAGGGCTGTCCAACTTCTGGGTAGCTGAGGACCACACACACTGTGGGATTCAGTCCCAGGGGATGCGTGAGGCATGGGCTGCAGGCCGAGAGCCGCTTGCTGGGTGGGTGGCCTCCCTCCCGGGCTCTCCCTAGCAGCATGGACAGCCCAGCTTCCCTTCCTCCTCCTATTTGTGCAGAAAGTCCAGCTCCCGCCCACACTCCTATCCATGTGTGCTGCCCTCTTACCGCCTCCCCCCACTACCCGCGTGCAGCACAGGCAGCCCAGCTCCCCCGCTCCTCAAGCACAGCATCCCACTCCCCCCCTGTCCCCCAGGAGCCGGGGCAGGAGATAGAAGCCAGAGGAGGGTGGGGGAAGCCTGAAAAAGCCAGCTTCCAGGGAAGGACCAACAAGGGGAGGGGAAGGTAGCGACAGCCATGCCAGGAACCTGAGGGCTGCATGTAAATCCTTCCAGGGCCACATGTCGCCCTTAGGCTGCCAGTTGGACAGCCCTGGTTTAGAAGAAATTCTTTCACCAGCCTTGCTGTTAACATATTTTAAAGATTTTACTGTTTAAAAGAAATGTTTAAAGGGTCCTTTGCAAACCCCTAAAAGCAAAAAGGCAAGCGCCTTTGAAAAGCTGACATGTTCTATGTATCTTTCTTTTGATTTTTTGAGCAGCTCTAATGAGCACTCAGTGGGTGCATCGACACGTGCATTAGCATGCCTGAATAAGCTCCGGTGCAGTTTGCAGCACTTCTTATTGCTCCTGGGCATGCCGTTTGCATGTGTACCCAAGATTGCAGCATTTTGAGCTGAGGTCGAGCAGCCCTGGCTGGCAGGGGACCCAGGGGGTCAGCCTGTGCCAGCCTGGGAATGCTCCAGGCTAGCCAGCAGGCAGCCCCTGCACTGAAGCACCCTCATGCCCTAAGCAGCCCTGTCAGCATCTACACGTGCGTTGTGGCGGAGTAACTCCGCTTTAGGACAGTACTTGACTTGGGCAGTACTATCCTACAGTGGAGTTAATTAGTTTACTCCATCCTAATAGGACTTCACATGTAGACTGCGATGTTTTACTGCAGAGCTAATTAGACAGCTCCGTAGTAAACGTCTCGTGTAGACATGCCCAGCGTGCACATGCTTTTTACAGCGTGGCCTTATTTCCTGTTCAGCCTGGGACAAGGGGAATCTGGGGCCTCTTGTCCCAAAGGACCATGTGTTGGTTGTGCATGATTACTTTTCCCCCTGTACAGATAGTCTGGGAGGGAACAGGTTACCCTCTTTACCCTCCTTCTGGGCAAGGGCAAATTGTGGTCTCAACCAAGGTCTCAGTTCCTTCAGGGAGCTAATTCGTAGTTGAAGCTATTTTTCTGCTGCACATCAGCATACTTAAAGCAGACCAGGGAAAGGGCTGCACCCTGATCATCCCAGCTTTAAGTGTCGGCTTTATATGTATTATTTGGGAAAAAATTGAGATCAGACTCAAAAGCATCAGCAGGTTGCCAAGTCCAGAGCCCACGTTTCAGAAACACGGAGGTCATCCCTAGTTACAACTACTGCGAGCAGCGGCTAGACATCTTTCTTCTGCTCAGAGGTCTCAGAATCCCCTTGATGATAAACTTTTCCAGGAGAACGAATTAGGCTGCTGCCAGAGAGGGTGAGATTTTTGAAACGCCTTATCTTAATGCAAGGGTCAGGGAGGCTGGGACAATACAACGCAATCGCTCTTCTTGGCTGGTGCGTCGCTTTGCTTTCTCTAATGCCGCAGACTGCGGCGGCTTTTGTGGGGTTTGGGGAGGCAACAATGAAAGCAGCACGTTTCAGCTTGAGGATTTGTTTTCTTGCTCTGTGGAGTGGGTAGCAGGTGGAGACATGGGACATTGCACATTTCAGAGAGATGTGCCCTGTAGGTTTCATTGTCATTAAACACAGATCATGTTTTAGGGGAACTTCTGGAGGAGGAGTGGGAGACTAATAGCAACAGAGAGAGAGATAGAGAAATCAGTCATAAGACAAGACACCACTTTGGGCTCCTCCTAGCATTTTTGGGAGGGCACAGAGGAGCCTCTTCCATCAAATAGGGTGATATTCAGCTGATTGCAATGAAAAAGATGTCACCAGAAGCAGCTTTGTCAAGATCCTTCCCTGCTGGAAACAGCTCTTCCAGCTTTCCTCAGTCCCAGTGTTGCCAGGTCACCACTAAAATCAATCACCATGGCAAGAAGAGGTTGCCTCTTTCTCTCTCAGCTGTATAATATCTTCCCAAATAATTGCCTGGGCCCAAAGCCCAGGATATCCCATGCTTTTAGGTTCTCAGGCCAGAAGGGACTATTAAGATCATGATGTGTGTTGCACAAGTCATGGACTTTCAGTAGTTTCTGCAACAAGCCATAGCTTGTGAATGAGCTGTGGTTCAGGTCTGAGCTTCGAGAGGTCTGTCTGCACCTTAGCAGGTGCTGTGTAGACACCCCACCCATCTACTCTCACATACTGCACACCCACAAGTGCACGGGTGGACCCACTCGGGGGGTTGCCTCTAGTGACCACATCCAAGTATAGTGGGGACCAAGGTCTCGGGCATGGTCTTACATGGATCCCCATAGGAGCAGCCTATATGGAGAGAGGGAGCAGGAGCAGGTGGGCATGCCATGCTCAGAGCATCGGTGCCAGTGCTAAGAAGGCCGTGGATACCCTGCTTTATGTAATAGTAACAGTTTGGAGAGTGCTTCATGCAAGACCCGGTCATCCTGTCCTATTCAGCTGAGCACTGGAAGTCAGTAGGCCATTCACATGTGTTTGAAGACAAGCACTTTATTGAATTGGGGCTTCAGTACCTAAAAAAGGTGGCATGGGCAGATGGTTCGGTGGTTAATACCCTCAGCTAGGACTTAGGAGATTTGTATTCAGTTCCTTGCTCACTTTGTGTGTGGCCTTGGACAAGCCACACATGTTCCCCGTGTCTGGGTTCTCTGTTTATAAAATGGGGACAGTAACACTTCCCTGCTTCATGAGAGTGATGGGAAGAGAGGGGGAGGTGCTCAAATACTGTGGTCTGCAAAAGATGCGGAGAAAATGTAGAGTAGGGGTGGGCAATTATTTTGGGTGGAGGGCCGCTTACTGAGTTTTGGCAAGCCATCAAGGGCTGCATGACAGGGGCAGATAACTATTAATTTTCTAAAATTTTTAGGGGCCCCATGGGTGGGATAGACTGGCCTGGCAGGCCACATTTTGCCCACCCCTGCTGTAGAGGACCCAGAGATGAGCAACCGAGATGTTGCAGGGGTGGGAATGGCAGCGGTGTGAGGAACGGCCTGAGGAGCTCACCCTGGTGAGCTTGGAGAAAAGATGATAAAGGGAGAGCACTATAACAGTTTTGAAGTACAAGAAAGGCTGCTGTAAAGAAGACGGAGAAAAAAATGTCCTCCCTTGCCACAGAGGGCAGGGCATGGGGTAATGGGTTTAAACCACAGCAAAGCAGATTTAGACGAACTCTCATGGGGAAAACAACTTCTTAAGCGTAAGAGCTCAAGGATGGTGGACCAAGCCGCTCAGGACAGTGGT